GGTTCATGCCATTCTCCTGCCTCAGCCTCCTGAGTAGCTGGGACTACAGGCGCCCGCCACCATGCCTGGCTAATTTTTTTGTATTTTTGGTAGAGACGGGATTTCACCGTGTTAGCCAGGATGTTCTCGATCTCCTGACCTTGTGATCCGCCCACCTCGGCCTCCCAAAGTGCTGGGATTACAGGCATGAGCCACCACGCCCAGCCCATGGCCCTGCTTCTTGTTCCTCAGAATGCCAGTGGTGGTGGGCATGAGACAGCCCCCCTTCTCGGAAATGGTTGCCACCCTCACTTCTGTCCATCCCCCAGTACAAGGCAGAATTGGTCCCAAAAAAGGTCAGTGGACCTCAGACTCCTCCAAGGTCACGGTGAAGGTGAAGCTTTTCCTCATCCAGGCGACAACGTAAACACACATGTGTGGTCCCGCTTCCCACACCAGGAGCCCCAGCGGCTGCTGTGCTTGGTGAGGACTGATCTGTTTATTGTACCTGTTCTCTCAGGCCCCTTGCCACCTGCCTTGTAGGGACAATTGAGACCAATGGTGCTTTTAAAATTATGCAGTGGAGGCCATGCGCAGTGCTCATACCTGTAATCCCAGCACTTTGGGAGACTGAGGAGGGAGGATTGCTTGAGGCCAGGGGTTCGAGACCAGCGTATGAAACATGGTGAGGCCTCATTTCTACAAAACATACAAATTTTGGCCGGGCCTGGGCACGGTGGCTCACGTCTATAATCCCAGCACTTTGGGAGGCCGAGGCAGGTGGATCACCTGAGGTGAGGAGTTCGAGACCAGCCTGGCCAACATGGTGAAACCTCATCTCTACTAAAAATACAAAAACAATTAGCTGAGCATGGTGGCGCATGCCTATAATCCCAGCTACTCAGGAGGCTGAGGCAGGAGAGTCACTTGAATCTGGGAGGTAGGGGTTGCAGTAAGTAGAGATTGTGCCACTGCAGCCAGCCTGGTGGCAGAATGAGACTCCGTCAGGAAAAAAAAAAATTAGCCAGGCGTGGTAGTGGGTGCCTGCAATCTTAGCTACTCAGGAGGCTGAGGCAGGATAATTGCTGGAACCCGGGAGGCAGAGGTTGCAGTGAGCCAAGATGGTGCCGTTGCACTTCCGGGCCGACAACAGCAAGATTCCATCTCAAAAAAAAAAAAATTTGACCGGGCATAGTGGCTCACATCTGTAATTCCAGCACTTTGGGAGGCTGAGTCCAGTGGATTGTTTGAGCTCAGGAGTTCAAGACCAGCCTGGCCAACATGGCGAAACCCCATCTCTAATAAATACACAAAAATTAGCCAGGTGTGGTGGTGCATGGCTGTAATCCCAGCTACTTGGGAGGTTGAGGCAGGAAAATTGCTTGAACCCAGGAGGCAGAAGTTGTACTGAGCCAAGATTGCACCACTACATTCCAGCCTGTGTGACAGAGTGAGACTTTGTCTGCAAAAAAACCTCTGTCAGGTATGGTGGTACACTCCTGTGGTCCCAGCTATTCAGGAGGCTGAGTCAGGAGGATGACTTGAGCCCAGGAGTTGGAGGCTGCAATGAGCTATGATTGTGCCACTGCACTCCAGTCTGGGTGACAGAGCAAGACCCTATCTCTAAAAAAAAAAAAAGCCCTCAAAACTATGCAGTGGCGTATGTCACCTTCATCCCCTGGGAGAATCAGCATCCTGCCCAGGGCTTTGCCCTTGGATGGGACAGAAGCTCACGTGTTCCCAATCCTCTTCCTCCCTTCCCTGCCGGCTGACCCCAGCACTGGAGAGCAAGTGTAAGTCGGGCGAGAAGAAGGTGGAAGCCCTCCTGAAGGAGAAGCGGCGCCTGGAGGCGGAGCTGGAGACGGTGTCCCGGAAGACTCACGATGCCTCGGGCCAGCTGGTTCTCATCAGCCAGGAGCTGCTGCGGAAGGAGCGGTGAGGCGACCGTGGGGCCGGCTGGGTCCTCCCTGTGTGCCTGGCCTTTGCTCCACTTCTTGACATTAGCTCATGTTATCTCGGGGCAGAGAGGGGCAAAGCTAGTGGGCCAGGTGGCTGATCACCAGCAATCACCCTGTTCTCTAAGCTGCGACAAAGTCTCCAAAGCCGCCACACGGTTCTCCAAGCAGAGCATGCAGAAAAGAGTAGGGCCAGGCACAGTGGCTCATGCCTGTAATCCCAGCACTTTGGGAGCCTGAGTCAGGAGGATTGAGCCCAGGAGTTCAAGACCAGCCTGGGCAACATAGTGAGACCCCATCTCTCTAAAAAAAAAAAAAAAAATTAAGCTGAGTGCAGTGGCTCATGCCTGTAATCCCAGCACTTTGGGAGGCCATGGCAGCCAGATCACCTGAAGTCAGGGGTTTAAGACCAGCCTGGCCAAAATGGTGAAACCCCGTTTCTACTAAAAATACATAAATTAGCTGGGTGTAATGGTGTGTGCCTGTAGTCCCAGCTAGTCAGGAGACTGGGGCATGAGAATTCCTTGAACCCGAGAGGAGGAGGCTGCAGTGAGCTGCGATCGTGCCACTGCATTCCAGCCTGGGTGACAGAGCAAGACTCCATCTCAAAAAAATAATTATAATAAAGTTTTTGTTTGTTTGTTTGTTTTTTGCCAAGCCTGGTGTTTTGCACCAGTGGTCTTAACTACTTGGGAGGCTGAGGCAGGATGATCTGTCAAGCCCAGGAGTTCCAGGCTGCAGGGAGCTATGTCACACCACTGCACTCCAGCTGGGGCGATAGAGCAAAAAACCCTATCTCTTAAACAAAAGAAAGAAAGAAAAGATTAATGCCTCCCAAAATGTTTGGTCTCAGGGACCCCTTCAAACTCCTAAAAATTATTGAGGATCCCCAAAGAGCTTTTGTTTATTCTACATTTACCACATTAGAATTAAGACTGAAAAATTGTGAGATACGAATCCATCTTAAAATAAGAAGTGAGGCCGGGCATGGTGGCTCACTCCTGTAATCCCAGCACTTTAGAAGGCTGAGGCAGGAGGATCACTTGAGCCAAGGAGTTGGAGACCAGCCTGGTAAAACCCCGTCTCTACCCAAAATACAAAATTTAGCTGGGCATGGTAGCACACACCTGTAATCCCAGCTACTCAGGAGCTTGAGGTGAGAGGATCACCTTAGGTGGGAAGTCGAAGCTGCAGTGAGCCAAGGTCTGGCTACTGCACTCCAGCCTGGGCAGTGGCAGTAAGACCCTGTCTCAAAAAATAAAATAATAAGCCAATTGCATGTAACATAAGTAGCATGCTTTTGATAAAAAGTAACTATTTTCTGGCCGGGGTGGGGTGGCTCACGCCTGTAATCCCAGCACTTCGGGAGGTCGAGGTGGGCAGATCACCTGAGGTCAGGAGTTCAAGACCGGCCTGCCCAACATGGCAAAACCCCATCTCTACTGAAAATACAAAACATTAGCCGGGCATGGTGGTGTGTGCCTGTAATCCCAGCTACTTGGGAGGCTGAGGCAGGAGAATCGCTTGAACCCGGGAGGCGGAGCTTGCAGTGAGCCGAGATTACGCCATTGCACTCCAGCCTGGGCGACAGAGTGAGACTCCATCTCAAAAAAAAAAAAGTAACTATTTTCCAAAACAAAAAATATTTACTGGGAAGAGTGGCATTATTTTAAATTTTTGCAAAATCCTTGAATATTGGGCTTAAAAAGAGAAATGAGATTCTTGCATCTTTTTCCATGTTCCATCTTTGCAATTTGCTCTTTTGGTTGAACTATGTTCTAAAAATCTGACCTTACATAGATACGTAGTTAGAAAAGAAAGGAGTATTTGAATATCCTTTTCAGATCATGGTTAGTATGTCTACTAGCCTCAGGGAAAACCTATCGTACTCTGAAGAGAAGTAATGAAAATAGCTTTATTATTATTATGAAAACAGTTTTGAGCCATAGATCCCTTGAAAAGGTCTTAAGAGCTCCACTGGGATTTCCCCAGACCACACTTTAGCATCCAATGAGCTAGATTCAGTCCATAGACATGGTTTGTGTGGTCCCTATGAGCCTTTAAGAAATTAGACTAGG